TGCTTACGCTCATTATCTTCACTACTTGGTGAAACCCCATATTTTAAAGTGCAAACCTAGATACTGATTGTGGAAAAAAACTTTGTTTTTAATACAATGGCAAACAAGTCTTAAAGAAATTATGATTATGACATCAATGTACCCCACAAATATTACCACGTTTACACATTATGCATATCTGTGAATGTGTTTCTCAGTCAAGACTCTCCCCCATTATTGTCTTGCATTAGCATGTTCCTTCAAGAGGGATTTAACCATATTTGCTGTGTTACCTTTGTATATAGAGGATATTATTTTCCAAATCAGACACTTGTTAACTTTGTATGGAAGTAAAGGGAACCTGTTACTTTGTGATATCTTGCTGTATACTCCAGTACATGGTTGCACTGGATGGTATTACAAATATGCTATTAATTGGATGTCCAAGAGCAAAACATGATGAAACAGAAAGCTCTGTATTAAAACTGAGATAATGTAATTTGCTAATTTAATTAGGAAATATAACAAAAGCATTGAACAAGAGTCTGCTTAGCCACAGGCCTGGCTTACTGGAAGTCTTAGCATAAAGTAGTGTCTTAAGTTTTTTCAAAGTAGTGGTTTTATTACCTAGTGTTAATCTAGTCTGAGAATAATCCATCCATATAATATAGTATAATATATGTGTTAACCTATAAAAACTGCTGTGTTTTTTGAAGAGAGTTTTTTGTATGATGTTTTTTCTTAATGACCATTGATAATAGTAAGGCAAAATATATTGCCAGCTTGCCATATTAAACTAAACATCAAATGCAGCTTTTTGTAAACAACATTTTTTATGAAGATCAAGTTCTTAATGTTTTAAACTTCTTTTTTTTTAAGGTGGTGGTAGTAGTTCTGAAAACATTTTCCTTGACGTATTTTCACATAACTAAGTTTCTGGGAACTTGTAACTTCTGGCATTTACACAGGTGTTTTAGTTTGAAATTTTGGTTGTGTTTTCTGCTTTGTGGTTGTGCTTTTGCATCATTTGAAACATCATTTCTCCTCGCAAGGTCTGACATGTTTAAGATTCCAATACTCAGTTGACTTGCAGCTGTGGGTGGGAGGTGTGTGTTTATTATTATTCCTAGTTATGCATTATTTTATAATCTGGTCTGAACTCATTGTTAACATCCCTTACTGATGTCCCATACCAAGTGATTCAAAGGAGGTGAAAAATCAAGGCATTGCCTGCCAATGGAAAGAGGGATTGTCTAGCCAGCGTCTGGTTAACCAGTAGTGTCTTTGGGTTTTTTCCTCCTTCCTTATTAGAATTTCCTTCTTAACTGTGTGGATACCAATTTACTCTATAGCTAGCATAAAGTATGTGGTATACCTTTTCAACAGAAACATGATACTGCAATTCAATCCCTCCCCTCCTTCCCTTTCCTGGCATCCAAAAAGGTTAATAACTGCTTTAATATATATTGCTGTATATGCAGTAGAGCTCAACACACAAAATCTAGGGCAAAAGGAAATAGTTTTAGATTTTTGTATTAAATATATAGTGAATTGAAAAATGCAGATGCAGTGATCGTGCTTTTTCATGCATAGTTCTGGTGTTTGTAATGTCACTTTCTTTTTAAGATACTGGGTTTGCATGTCAAAACTTTGAACTGAATACTGCACAGGGTGCTGTTCTCTGTCAGCAGAACTCCCTTGCTCAGTCAGGGCCACTTAGAGCTGGCTGCCCAGGATCATGTCCAGACAGCTTTTAAGTGTCTGAAAGGAGATGCCACAGTCTCCCTGGGCAGCCCTTGCCAGCACTCATCCTCATGTTAAAACAGTGTTTCCTGATGTTCAGATGGCACTTTCTGGTTTTAGTTTGTTCCTGTTGCCTCTGGTCCTGTGACTGGGCATCACTAAAGACAGCCTGGCACAGTCATCTTTGCAAACCTTCCTTCAGGATTCACAGATGTTAATCAGATCCTGCCTATGTCTTGTCTTCTCCAGGCTGAGCAGTCCCAGCTCTCTCAGCCTTTCCTTGTAGGAGAGGTGCTCTAGTCCCTCCCTTTATCATCACTGTGGCCTTTCATTGGACTCTGTTCAGTATGTCCATGTCTCTCTTACACTGAGAAGCCCAGAACTGGACACAGGAGTCTAGCATGTGGCCTCCTCATCAGTGCTGAGCAGAGGGGAAGAATCTCCTCCCCTGACGTGCTGGTAACGCTGTGCCTAATGCAGCCCAGGATATTGGTAGCTTTCTTTGTGACAAGGATGTACTGCTGGCTTATGTTCAACTTGGTGTTCACCAGGGTCTTCAGGTTCTTTACTGCCAAGCTCTTGCTGAGCTTTCTGAGGTTCCCATCAACCTGTTTCTCCAGCCTGACAAGTTTGTGCTGGATGACAGTGCAGTCATCTGGCCTATCATCCCTCCTTCCAGTTTTGTGTCATCTGCAGACTGGCTGAGGGTGTGCCTTGCCCTATCATCCATATCATTAATGAAGATGTTAAACAGGACTAGACCCAGTATGGACCCCTGGAGTACACTGACCTAGTTTACTGACCTCCAGCTAGGTGCCACTAGTCACCACCCTCTGGACCCAGTCATTTGGATAGTTTTCCATCCACCTCACTGTCTGCTCATCCAGCTCCTATGGCAGCAGCTTGTCTATTAGAATTTTGTAGGAGACTGTATCAAAGACCTTACTGAAGCCCAAGCAGACACTATCCACTCCTGTCCCCTCACCTACCAGGCCAGATATTTCATCTTAGAAGTTTATCAAGTTGGTCAAGTATGCCTTCCCCTTGGTGAAGCCATGCTGACTACTCTTGATGATTTTCTTGTCCTTTGTGCAGAAGGTTTCCAGGTGGAGTGCTCTATTACCTTCCCAGGGATTGTGTTGAGACTTAGGGGTCTTGGCAAGTTCCCTGGGTCCTCCTTCTTGAAAACAAGAGTGGCGTTTGCTTTCCTTCAGTCTTCGATCACTTCTCCCAGTTGCTGTGATTGAGCAAAGATTTTGAAAGTGGCCTTGCAATGACATCTGACAGGGGTGCTTCCCATCAGGGCCCATAGGCTCACACAGTCAGTTTGTTTAAGTGTTCCCTGACACTCCTGTCCTTTCTTCAGGCTTTCCTCCTCTGAGACCTGGGACTCCTGAAAGATGGTGTTGCTAGTCAAGACTGAGGCAAAGGTGGCATCCAGTACCTCAGCCTTTTCCATGTCTTGTGTAACCATATCCTCTGTCTCATTCAGCAGTGAGCCCACATTTTCTCTAGTCTTCCTTTCATCACTTATGTACTTACAAGCTTCTTGTCTTTGACATCCCTGGCCAGATTAATTTCCATTTGGCTTTAGCTTTCCTAGCTTTGTCCCTGGAAGTTTGGGCAATGTTTTTGTATTCCTCCCAGGCTACTTGTCCTTATTTCTACCCTCGGTGAACTTCATTTTTGTGTCTGAGTTTGGACAGCTCCTTGTTTGTCCAGTCAGGGCCTCCTGACATTTTTGCTTGACTTCCTATTCATTGGGATGGGAATCTCTTGAGCTTAGAGGAGCTGACCCTTGAATACTAACTAGCTTTTTTGGGCCCCTCGTCCCTGCAAGATCTTATTTCATGGGAATCTTTCAAGCAGTTCTTGAAAAGGCCAAACCTATTCTAAACTCCAGGGCTGTGAGCTTGCTGGCCAGCCTTCTCCCTGCTCTCAGGTTCTTGAACTCAACCGCCTCATGGGTACTGCAGTCAAGGCTGTATTTGACCTTCACATTGCCTCCTTGCTTGGTGAGTAGGAAGTTCAGCAGAGCATCTCTCCTCGTTGGCTCTTCCCAAGTAATTAGAGGAGGAAGTTGTCAAAAGTGCTGCAGGACCCTCCAGGATTGCCTGTGTCCTTTTGTGTTGGCAGATATCAGGGTGGTGGAAGTTCCACATGAAGACCAGGGACTGAGAATGTGAAGCTGCTCCTTCCTATCTGTCTGTAAAGGGGCACTTGTTCCTCCTGGTCAGGTGGTCTCTAACTAAAATGTTACCTTTACCTGTCCTCTCTTTAATTGTAACTCAGAACCCCCAGTTGTCTCCATATCCATCTCCAGGCAGAATTCCATGCACTACAACTTCTCTCTTGCATAAAGGGAATGAATTTTTGGTTTTGTTAATTACTCTTTTTATATAGATTTAGGTTGCTGCGGGGAAAATGGGATAGTCCCAGGATTCACATTGTAAGAGATGGCTTTACAATACAGCTTCATAAAAATCAAACTTAATAATTCAAATTAGTTCAGCTTCTTTCAATCATCTTCCCAAAGGTATAAAAGTATGAAATGAGTAAGTTAGTCAATTTACGTGCACTAAGGGGAATTTTCTTACTGCCTATTCCAGTGTTTTGTCTTGGCATCAGAAGCATTCCAGAAATTTAAAATTAAAGTGGATAATGGTTTCTGAAGAGGAAAGGACCATTGTTAGCTTAATGTTGTTTCTGTAGGTCCCACAGGCAAATCGGTTTTGACTCACTGAATGTTTTTGTGCAGAATTATGAAAGCAACGACAATGTTTTAGTAATTAAAACTAAGATACGGATGAGTTGTGTAGAAAGTGTGACTCAAAGGCCTGTGCATGCAGGAACAGACACCAGGAGAGCAGGTTGAAGAAGCTCAGTGGAAATGTAAAGTCTGTACTTCCATAAAAAATCAGTCAGTTGTATCTGCTCTAAGCTTTGCTAAGTAAGTTCTGTTTAACAAAATCTTACAAAGAATCCCTTGAGAAGCAGGAAGTTGCAACTTCGTATGCACTGGTTATATAAGAAACAAGAATTTCTCTGGAATGATTTATACTATGATTGCAGATCTCTTTGCTGTATTACACAATTCAGACTCAAATCAGAACTTCTCGTTAATGTGTTAGCACAAATACATGAGATGCTTAGATGAAAATAGCTGCCTGATAAAACTCCATATGCCAAAAATTAACTTGTTATTTTAGGAGATTCCAAGTAATAAAACGTGATGTATTGGCTATTTATTTAGTGCTTTTATTTCATTTTGCCAGGTACCAAGTAGAAGATGAGTCCTCTCATTTGGATGAAATGCCACTAATGATGTCAGAAGAAGGCTTTGAAAATGATGAGAGTGACTACCATACTCTACCAAGAGCCAGAATTTCTCAGAGAAGAAGAGGCTTGGAATGGTTTATCTGCGGTGGTTGGAAGTTCCTTTGCACTAGGTTGGTTTCATACCAGTAAGCTATTAAACAAATTAAGTAAACAGTAACTTTGTATTGTGTGATATGTACAGACATTAAATCTTTTACTTTTGAGGGTATTAGTATGTTGACAATATATAAATTTTATTGATGTTGTAGAAAGGAAAAAGCAAATTCATTAAATAATTATTAGTTAACACTTCAGCTGTAAATATTAAAGAATACATGTAACTGGTGGTATTGGAGTTGATTAGAACTGGAATTAGCTCTTGTGATTTGGTTCTTATTTAGGAACTTTCTGTGCTAAGCTCTGCTGTAGGCAGTTGCCTTGGAATAGTAACTTTCTAATGAAATGTTAGCAAAATTTCTAAATACAGAAATTTCTAGAAGGGTGATTAAGAATCTTTCCTTTAATCTTGAATGGTAAAATCCTGAGAATCAGGCAAGTGAAGTCAGTGAAACATTTTCAGTGAATTTAAATGGTGAATGCTTTTTTGGGAGATGATTTTAGAATTGATTTAGATAGAAGTCTTCACAGGTAGTTTTTGTGGCACTTTATGAGGCCTGGTACTGCTTTACCTAAGCAGTGCTCTGTTTGTACACCTACAGTTCTTTGAAATAATTACATTATGCAGCTTTACTATTTGCAGAAAAATATAATTTATATTGCTTTCTTTGTTATACATAATAATTTAATAAAAACTCATGGAGTATTACTTTTATTATAGGGAACAAGTGTTTGGAAAGTAGAAGGAAGGAGGTAAGGTAGCAAAGTTTACAGAAGCTGTGTTCGTATAGTAAATGGTTTGTGGAAGTAATGTTTCTGTTACAGAACTGCCATTGTAGTTTTAAAAAAGATATTTTTAAGTATTTAAAAGGCTGTTAATCTTTTGGATCTGTCTAAAATTGAGATACTTTTCAGACAGTACACCTTATGTGAGTTCAGTTCTGTGTTAGTGGTTATTAGTTACTTTGATTACATTCCTTTAAGTTTCATGAGAACAGGTGATCCAGCAAAGATGGCACCCTGTAGTTGCCCTGACAGAGAATTTGGTGTTTGGATAGAGGCAGACAATTGCAAGATGAGTTTATGTTGGAACTAATTAACAATTGTAAGAGAATGTCACAAGAAAGTGTCATTAGCGCTGAGGATTGCAAAATTTCATGTTCCTATTTGCTTTTTAAAATTGATAGGTACATCTCAGCTTTCAGTAGAGCTCAAGCCTAAAAATTATCAAACTTATTGTTAAAATGCTTGAGCCATATTTGTGATGAATTTTTGAGAATGAAAAGAGCAAGGAAATTGCATTATGGATTTTTTTTTTTTTTTTGCTACGTCTTATACATATTCTGCTTCTAATGTAGATGTGTAAAAGAAAAGCCTTCCCTAAGAAAGAGGCCCTAAGGGAGTATGACTTCTGCTTTTCTGATTTCCTCAACTAAATTTGGTCGTAGTAAAGAGCCCATTTGGTCTTGTATTTACACCTAGAGGCGTTTTAGTCACATTAGTGTTTTCTATAACAGAACATCATAGCAGGTAATTTTAATTTTTCATGGGAAAAAAATTTTAAAAAGACTACCAGATCCTAGTAAAAGCTTAAAATTCCAGTAGGATGTTAGCAGGGAGAGGATCCTCCCATAGGAAAGGTGCAGACACCTGCTTAGATGAGATGAGGAAAATTTTCTGGAAGGAAGGTGAATCCCATAGTATCTTACCTACTGGTCCAGTCATGCTGGATAAAAACCTCATCTTGGGTGAACACTTCTGAGTGTGTGTATAAATACCCATTGTGGTGGTTGGGAGATTTCTTCTGGGTTGAGAGCTCCATTGAGGACTTCATTATGGATAAGAGTCAGAGATACGCAGTCAGTGTAAATTGTTCTTTTTGATGGTTTCTCATTATAATGAAACTCCATGAATTTTTGCTGGGACCCAGAGAATACTTGAGATTTTGAAATACTGTATTGTCAGTCTACTTCTCGGTATCACATGCAGTTATCGCTTACACTGTGTAGTAGAATGAGTTGCAATGTTTTTATAGAATCTAGAGTATTGGTTTGGGATAGAATTGGGTGTTGATGCCTTCACACTTGAAATAGAGATGAATATGTGAGAACACAATTTTCATGTGCGTTGATGGTATATACATGCTAGACAAACAACTGAAACTTATTTCCAGAAGAAAAACTGCATTTTCCTAAGTGTAATGTAAGATTAAAACAGTCTGAGACCTATTCAGTTAAATTTCACCCTGCTTTTATGGAAATTAGTATCTCATACCTGAATCTGGGTGAGGTTGAAATTTCAACTTCCGCATCCACAATTTCTTTTTGTGCTTTAAAGTAAATTGTAAATTTTTCAAAGCTGTCGCAGGAGGATGAACACAATAAAAGACTAGGCATTTGTCTGGAGCCAAGCTCAGGGGCCCCCTGATTTCTTTTGGGTTCTCAGTGAAAGTCTTGTGTTTGTGTTCAAAATCACTTTACTTGTTGCAAACAAACAAAAAACTCCATACCCACTAGGGGTTTATGTCTGTCTTGCATTGTTAGGATTAATCTCATTTTTGTGAGAGGAAGTTTTCCATCTCTTACTTTGCAGCTTTAGAATTTTCTATATTCTGTAGATTTTTGTTGCTACATCACGAACTGCCACTGTGTATTTGAAGTTTCACGCATTTGGCAGAAGCAAATATGGAAGGTTTGTCAAAGATCACTCACTGTACTTGAAAAATGATTTTATAAAAATCCTTTATCCTGCTTTTTACGTCTATTTAGACAAGAGACTTGTTGATCAGAACTGAATGGTGTGAACTTTATTTGCAAATCTGCAGCTCTTTAAACAGTTTTTACATTTGCAAGAAAAAAAATCATAATTAAATCAAATGTTGTCTTTGATTTTGAACAAACTGAAGACTTAATTCAACCAATATAACTTTTAACTTCAGAAACTGCTTATTTCTTGCTTTCATAGCACAGTTGAAAGAAAACTTTGTGATATAGCAGCTGTTTTGTGGTTGTAATCATTTCCCCTTTAACTTACAAATTCTCTTCAAGCTTGTGAAATTATAATGCACATAGATCAATACTCTGGAGTTCTTTGGGCTGGATTGATTTCTTTCTCATGAGATTTACATTCCACTTGTTATCAAAAAACACTTTGTCCCTATGAAAATGGTGCCATTGAATGGCATTTCCATATGAAGTGAAGGGGATATCAAATGCTCGGATTAATTTGGGCTCTAAGATGGCCTGTACGCTTTCAATTAATCTGCAACGCATTTGTTATGCAGAAGCATGGGAAAATGCTGATCTTTTAAGAATGACATGACCACTGTGTTGCTTTTGGCCTGATTACTGAAGCTACCTGTTGAGTACAATAATTACAGTATGTTTTCTTTGCAGAACTAGTTTCTGCTACTTAAAACCTAATAAGGAAAATCTGACCCTTGCAGACAATATAGAGCTTTTATATTATCTCTCCATTCTGATGAAAATGCTGTTTTGTGAAAGATACTGGCAGTTAAGCTTGTAGGATAAAAGTAATGAAAAGAGAAAATAAAAAAAGCCTTTATTATTAGAGCTGCAGAGTCAGTTGAGACTTTTACGTTAGCTTTTGACTTGGAGAGATATGCTCTATTTATGAAAAAGTTAAGGGTTCTTACTTAACAATTACTCCAGGGCTTGGTTTTTTGGTTTCTCTTTTTTTCTTTAAAATTTAAACCTGCCGTTGGTTACTAATATGAAGACTGTGGTTATTGTTCCTTCAAATTAAAAAAAGTACATTAGGAAGCAGGTTAGTAAAAAGTCATTTGATAGATGTACCTTAAAGTCGTTCTGTAAATTGGTTTGTTTTTCATATATGCAATCTGTTGTATAGATAGAGACAACATGGGTTATATCTAGCTTAAGGAAAAAGTTTTTTCTGCATGTGTTGAATTTTCTAGGCAAGGGCATTTGAAATGCAAACTTAAATCAGTAAACAAGGATGTGATTTATTTTATTTGTCACTGAGCCCATAGCATAAGATGTGGTTTTGCATAAAAGATTTCAGAAAAATCTGAAGCGTGTCTTGATCATGCTACATCTTATACTATGTTTTTAGACCGTTTGGAGCTCAGAGTATGCTCCTCTGACTTATCATACAAATTTACTGGGTACAGAAAGCCTACGAAAGGGTCTGCACCCTCACACAAAAAATATTTGTTGTATTGCAGAGTCAATTTGAGAGCAGATTAGGTATGCGTTGGGTGTTAATAATGCGAGTTTCAAAAATGTTAGGTCGACTTCATTATTGTTAAAAATCTGAATTAATGTAAACGGGTTAGGATTTCTGAGGCCAGTGTGTCCACCTCTGATTCTTCTGTGATATGTCAGTAATTACTGCTGAAACTGTAAATGGCAGAATCTAACTAATTTTTACTTTTAAGATCTGAACCATGACAAGACTGATATGGGCAAAACCTGTCATATTTTCATCATCTGCGATTTTCTTGCATCTGAAAACTTGAGTGTTCTTAGCTCTGTGTCAGTCAAATCCCTTTTATCAAAGGCATCCCAGTTGTTTCCCAGTGAGACATCATTCTTCTATCTGTACTTGTTAGCCTTTATTAAACTAATGGTCATTATGGCATGTGTTGATCGGTAGCGAAAATAGTTTCAAGAAGGGGAGACTCCGTGGCAAGGAATGTGGTATAATTCATTTGTTTTAGTAAAATGTTTAATTTTGGCAATAGAAGAGTCCTCAGTGTCTGATGAAATGATTATACAAAAGAGACTGTGCCTAATCAAATGTTCAGTCTGTTTGCGGTTTAAATTTGAAAACTAATTGAAGCAGTGCAGGATGTCAGAGGCTGTCAGGGAATTTCTCTCTATGGGATTGTAGATAGAAGTTGTCATACTTATTCACTTCTCCCATAAAAATACTATTTTCCTTGGAATCTTTTTTTGCTACGGATGTGTCTTGACATGTCTTACTCTACAGCTAAGCTGTGTCTTCTGCTGGTATTGTCCTCTCCACACCCCTTCCCTGGAAACTGACAAGTTTAAGGCTGTGATTCCGTGAGCAGTTTTATCAAGTGTAAATCCAAGTTGGCACTGGGTGGACTCATTACACCTTCTGTTGCAAGCACGTAACCTGTATTGTTTCAACTATTCTTACTGGGTTTTTTTATTTTTTTTTTTAAAGATCAGGGGTGAATCTAACTGAAAATAGCCATTAAATAATAGCCATTAAACTGATTGTGGAACCATGAGTTAGAAAGACTGCTGTTCATTTTGCTTTAAAGACAAATTTAAGTAATGGTCAAGATAGCATAATTTTTCTGATTTGTATGTTACTAAATAGCAGGGCTGAATTTTGAATGCTGAACTAATGCAGTTACAATATAGCTGTGATAGAATAATTCCTTGTTGCTATTTTAAAATGACTGGGAAAAGCTGATACATGGGTTTCTATTTCTAACAAAAAATAAAATGCACCTTTACATTGCAAATTGATGTTTATCCCATAGTGAAAGTTTCAGGGAGGAAATCTTAAGAATCCAGCATTTAAAATGGAAGTGTTTTAAGCATCAGCTGATGAGTATTGGTATAGTGGCATTTCCACAATGAAGCTTTGAATGATTTTGCTATTGCATAACTTCTAATTTTCTTTAAGAAGAGTCTACAACTTTGAATTGCATTTTTCTTTGGCAAAATTAATTTGTAATAAGCATGGGATAACATAGACTGTAGACAAGTACAGTTTAATTGGGATTGTGGCAATGTAAGCAAACTATCAGCCTTCTTCCCTTGCAGTATTTGTGTGTAACATGACTATAATGGTGAAAAACCAGACTAGGAAAGGGCCTTAAGAGGTTGCCCAGTTGATTCCTTGCCTGCACAGGATGAATTATACCTGTCACTTATGTATCATCTGACCAGATCTTAGACACCTGCAGTGGTGGCAATTCCAGCCTCCCTAAGTGTTTCCTCCACCCCTGCCAATGTCTGTGTCGTGCCCTGCTTATTTATTTGCCACAGTTAGTTGAAGTCTGTCATTACTTGATAATGATGAACCTAGAGAATAATTGTCCCTTTCCTCTTTGCAGCTCTTTTTTACATACTCAAAACCGTATCAGGTCCATACTCAGCCTTCTGTCAACAACTCTTTCTTGCTATATATGTAGTAGCCAGCCTGCTCTGCTTTCTGGACCTCTAATCGTTTTCTTGCACGTGTGTGTGGTCTGTTTTCCCAATAGGCCTGTTTGTTGAAATTTGGTATTCAGGATGGTATTGTAAGGCAACTGAGATCTTGCTAGCACTGGATTGGGAGAAAGGGGTACATTCATGACTTGTTAGAAGTATGCCTGTCCACACTGAACAGATACATGCCTTTTTGTGCATATGTATCTCACTCTTATGCAGTAACTGAGGTTGAGTCCTTCTCTTTTGAGCTGCCACCAACTATTTCCCAGTTCTGTATCTGCGTAATTGATTATTTCTCTGTAAACGTACTATGTTGCACTTGTGCCTGTTCAAATGTGTTCCGTCTCTTCCAGGTAGTTTTTCTAATCTGTCAAGACAGCACTGAATTCTAATTTCCTCTTTGCATGTACCCCTGTCTCTTCTAGCTTTTTGTTGTCTGAAAAATTAAATATTTGTTTGTTAATTACCCAGAAGTTTTAAATAAAGCTTTGCACACCTTCACTGGAATTATATTGATTTTATTCAAGCTATTCTGCTATTATGATTTTTCCAACTGCAACAGTTCCAAAAGTATGTTCCTTTACTTTTCTTAGGATGAATGTTCTTGAGAGCTAAATTTTATTTAGAGACATAGAATCATAGAATTATTTGGGTTGAAAGGGACCTTTAAAGGTAATTTAAGTCATGGGCAGGAACATCTTTCACTGGATCAGGGTGTTAAAAGCCCTGGAAGTCAAGAGAGGGCATGTATTCTCAAGCACTAGTGCACCTGGTTCTTCTCAGAGTGAAATTAGCTCAATTTTAGAGATTTTTCTTGGCACATCAAGGTTGGTTATGACTTGTGTTTTCTCTCAGGTGTGTACAAATACATATGAATAGGCTGACTATACAGAATGAATCCAGGAAACAGTGCTGAGGTGATTGGATTGCAATTTTTCCCTCTTGTTCTCAGCAGACGTCTTTCTGTTGGTTTGAATGCAATTTATAAGAGGTTCCTAATGGTTGTTTTCTTTTTTCCTGCATCAGAAATATTGCCAGTATAATTCAAAAACCTCACTAGGAATCCTGTGTCACTTCAGCTTCACTGGTTGGTATAGCTGAAATCTGCTGTAACCAGCTTGGTCGGTGCTTCAGCTGCAGTAGGTGTTCACAGAAGGTCTGTCTGCTCAGTCTCCCTGATTCACTTGCCTCAAACAGACTCCCAGCATGATTGAGACACCTCCCCCCAGTATGAACAAATCAGATAAATTGTCCTTCAACATATGGAATTGTAAACCAAGTATGTACAGTGCACAGCAAACCTGCTTTTCTTTCCAAATGGTCTGTGGCTAGTCCTAACAAGTCTTAGGCCGGTTATATTATGTGACTTGAGTCACATCCATGTTTGTTCCTTGTTTTACTGCTGTTAGTAAAGTCTGCTGAGCCTCAGATGCAGCTTTCCATTTGCCAGCCTTTTGTTCCTAGTCAGGATCTCATGCCCATCATTCCATGTCTACATTGCAGTTTAAAGGTTGTTGTGACCTCTTCTCATCTCATTGTTCGTTGTTTAAACCCTCTGCAGTAGATTTATAAGCTGGTTAGACAAGGATGCTCTTCCTTTCTCCTGTGAGCTGAAGTTCAGCAATTGCAGATCACTCTGCAATCTAGATTTACATAGTGGTTTTGGTTTTTTGGGGTATTTTGATTGGAAATAGTTGACAATGTGGCATTAGCAGTCACATGGAGGAAACAAAGATTCACAAATTATGTGCTAATCATGTACAGAGCTGTTGAAATTTTTTGAACTTTATCTAACAGAAGCTTTATTTCCTCTTCAATCATTAGCATCATCTGAGTATCAGTAATACAAGATAAAGAGTTTAGCTAAAGGACCATGAGGTATGATAGATGAGTTAATTATTTAATGGTAGGGGTACTTAGTAACTGCTAAGGCAGATTCTTATTGAACCTCTCTCAGGGCAAGGTGAAGTGAGACTTGTCATTGTTGTATTAGGATTTTCTGTAAAGAATGTGCAAGTGTTTATGTCTGAATGTGTTGAGTACTCTGTAATTGCCCTAAATACAACAAGTCAACATCATGCTTCCTTAGATATGGCAAACATTTTTAAGCCTGTTTTTTGTAGGTATTTGTCTTCAGGGGTTCCAGGTTTGGAAATACTAGCCTCATATAGTAAATTTTTAGTTTTAAAATAAGCAATTGTTTTTCTTTTTCAGTTGTTCTGATTGGCTTATAAACATTTGCCGAAGAAGGAAAGAGCTGAAGGCTCGCACAGTGTGGCTTGGGTGTCCCGAAAAGTGCGAAGAAAAGTACCCCAAAAATGCCATAAAAAATCAAAAGTACAACATCTTTACCTTTATACCTGGGGTAAGGCTACTAAACGTTTTTTGGTCTTAGGCTGACTGTATGTTCTGTAGTGGTTTTTTACTATTCTGCAGAAAGCTAGTTTTATTTACCCGGATTCTTCTTTTTATATTTATCTCAATGTCTTCAATGGAAATTGACAGTCGAGAGCAAGGCTGCTGCTTTGTTGTTTTGCTTTCAAAAGGATATTTACTAAATTGCAGTGTGTATGATTGAATGGTTAGAATTCAGTGAAGGTTTAGAAATTTGAGATGGGTTTCCTTGCACTTTTCTATTCATCATTAAAAATTTGTAATCCTTCTTACAAAAAAGAAGCACTTCTACACGCAAACCACTGACTTCAATTGAGAAATAAATAGTTGAAAATTGCAATTTAGTTCCATAGATACTTTCTCATACTTGTTGCCATTGAAAGTATAATAAATATGTATTCTGAAATGGGCAACTCTTTAAAGGACAAAAACAACTAACCTCTTCAATTTATATGACAAGTGGGCCTAGTTCACTACTTTTCAGAACTGAATTTGTTATTGCAGTTTTGAAAATAGCAAGGTCTTTTTGGTTTTGAATGCAATTCTTCAGGAAATACTGTTGTTGTGGAGTGGAAATGTTTTTGTCACTATTTTCCTAAGAAGCCACATTGTGCCTTAATTTCAGTATTTTGCCTATAATGTTCATAATGTATATGAAGACAAAAGAGATGTTACAGTTTGATCTGGTTCATGCTATATAAAAAATTTGCTGTTATAATGAAATATACCAACAGAGACAACAACTTTTGAAACTTAAGTAGTTAAAAGCTGAAAATGTATGCTGCTGTGATATTACAAATGTTACTATTAGACTTTTACTCATAATTTTACTAATACCACCCAAGAGTCCTGTGTCCTGTTTCAAAGACTGAAATCCTTATACATTTGAATACAGAGATGCTTTGTCTTAAATTTTTTATTTAAGTGATCATGCTGGTTTATAAGAGTATTGATTCTGTTCTTCTGGCCTCTTTGGTCCAATGACTGGCAGCTGTTTTCTAATGCATTTCTTTACTAAAACAAAAAAAAATTAATAGCCTTGTAATTAAGACTGATCTCCTGTTAGAGAAATAAAATGTCATGTATCACATGTGGATAAAATATTCTCATCATTATTGGACAAAGTAAATGTTTTTTTTCAAAGTTTAAATTATTAAATACACTGAAATTGGTTAAGCCACATATGCTTTCCTAAAGGTCACAAAATTCATTATGCATATAGTAAGCCATTGATTATTGGGACTAGAAATCTGCAGTGTAGATTACAAATCCTAAACCAGATTCATGTTTCCTATAGGGATCAGCCATAGTTTGCAATTCCCTGTTGGGAGAGAGAATACTAGTTCTTTTTTGATCTTTAAAAATCTTGGATTTACAGTATAGGCAGAATCAGATTTTTAATTTGGTGGTAGTATTTGAAAACTCAGTACTAAGTTCACACTGAAATGTGGTCCTAAGAATAAAGCCCAATAGTTGGTGAAAATGTTTTCAAATTTGAATTTTAGACATAACTTAAGACTCTTCATAGAATGCTGTGTAGCTATCTTTTTTTTTTTTTTAATGCTGTTCTGCTAGACGTAATTTGTAGGGAACATCATTGTATTGGTTCCAAACCCATAAATGTAACTAAGTCATAAATACTGGCTCCAGCGATCTCTCTGGTTGAAGTTTTCATCACATGAAGTTTTGTCTTCTCTTGTATCTTTTTTTAACACTGCAGCTGGCAGTGGGTAATATTCAATTATTTCACACTCAAATACAAACTTAATGCTCAGATTAACAGAATTTGACCTACTGGCTAAAAGAGCTGTAACATTTTCAAAAAATCATCTAATTTCTGGACATTTACATAAAATACTTGCTGCTTCTACCTTTACACACATCTGTTCACTTTTTGTTTACTATTTCCTGTGCATCTTGATACAGCTGCTTATGAATCTTGTGTGAATTTTCATTCGAAAAGTCTCCTGTGATGGGCAGGTTTTGAAGATACCTCTCCTGAACTTCAAAGCAGTAATCTTACTAGTTTTAGGTAGCTGGAAACTTTTCAATTTGCTTAACTAGTCTGAAGTGTTTAGCTTTGTCTTGAATGAACTGTAGTGGTCTGCCGGGATTCAAAATATTTGTAGGAAGGTGCTTTATAACTTCCACCTTCTCCTGCGCGATGGGTGCTCCTGCAGATCTGCATCTCCCAAAGTACTCTGTGGACTTCTCCTTTGGCCTGGTGTTTCAAGTTTTTGTAAACAATTAAACACACTTCTGGAAATGACTGTATGAACTTCATCAGTGTTAACATAAGGTACAAGTTCAGGCTGGATTTGTTTCATTTTGGAAGAATGTTCTGACTTTTTTTGGCTTTACAGTTTGTTTGGTAGATTGTGGAATAGCGTTCCGCACTCTTGAAAATGTCTTATGATGAGAGGCGGTTTAGGTGGTCTTTAGCTGAACAGTAATGTGCCACTCTTGCAAGAAACTGGCAGTTTTGAGGTACTACTACTTTGTTGTGCTTGCCAGAAAGACACTTTGAAATGAACTTTCCCAAATGTTTTTTTTCCTAGGGCGTAGGTTTTTCCATAATTGAGTAATAATGTTGGACTAGTAAGAGCAATAAATAGCTTTGATTTTTATGCAGAAGTCATTGTAATATTAACTGAATTGTAAGATTAAAAGATGGAGACAGTCTTCAATGTGGCTTTTTCATCTGTTTTGAATGTTTTATCTTTGAAATAATTGATTATCCATTTTCTCAACTCTCTGTTCCAAGTGCAGTGGCCACTTCTCTTAATCCTGCTGGAGGTGCCATTTAATCCTGGCCTACTAAAGAATTATGTGAAGTCTTTGAAGATTCAAAATTCTATAAAATGAATCATGTTCTTAGCATTGTAATTATAACTAAAGCAATCTTGAGAACATGCATTTGTTGAAGTGGCGCTTGTAATTACCAAAGGAATCTCTGCATCTGTCATTCCTTTGGAATATGAGACAATGTGTTCTGTGCTAAGTCTACTGTGGCTTCACTTAAAACTCAGACAATCAGCTTTGCGTTGAGACCAAACCTTTGATTTATTAATGAACATATCTCATGTGCCAATACTTATCGCAAAACAATCTTGTAAGAAATTTAATGCTGAGCATTTCTTCTAAATTACCTGAAATGCCCATGTTACACATTTCTTGTAGTTTAAACTTTCTGAGAACTTAAACCATGGTTTCTTTTGTAAAACGCTTGTCTTACTATGGAAACTGAAGAATGCTGCCTTATTCTGAGATTTCCACACAACAGCTATGGGGAAAGGGAGCAGTGTTGCTTACCCTTAATCACAGGATGTTTTCTATAGGGTTCATGTTATTTTCCTAAGCAATGCTTATTCTTGAACATTGAGTAGTTTCACTATTTCTAAGACCAGTGGGAAATGGTAGTTTTGAAGGGGTGTGTCTGACTTGCTGGTAACCTTTGTTCCTTTGAGAACCAAAGGACTTGAGAAAGAAGGCAGATGAGTTGTAGAGCTTCCACCCCTGCAAGAGGAGCAGCTTCAGTGGCTCTGTGGAGGAGAGAGCGTGCTGAGGGAATGCAGTGAGCAAAAGTAATGAGGAGTTGCTGTACATTGTTTTCTCTGTGATGCAGACAGACTTGAAGCTGTAGGATGCTCTCACAGTGATGCAGAGCACCATGGTACAGTCTGCTCAGTTTTGTTGCTCTATAGAAGTTCAAATGACAAAGACTAGGATAATATTTTTGTAAATGATTTCTGTTTATTTGTTGGCAGTGATTTTTTTTAATATTACTATTATTTAAGGCCAGGATATGAATTTTTTTAAGACAAAAAGGTGTTCTGAGTCAGATAAAAGAGAATTTAAATATTGGTACCTAAGGAAAAATGAAGATTTACTTTTAATGCTGTATTTTTAGGAAGAGAAGTTTTAGCAGCTAAAAACAAAAACTTTATACAAGCACTGGAAATTCAGATACAAACTTAGTTCACATTTATATATTGATACTATTTAAAAAAATTCAAAACTTAAAAAGGTAACTGATGTGGATATAAAATTATTACAAAATGGTTGTACAAACATATGAATTACATTTACTGTTAAAATTTTAGAGTAAATTTTTGCACAGTGACCTTGATGCATAGTCCAGTTTTCAAAATACCAAAAATTTAGCAAATTGCTTTTTCAGAGTGAAAAATGTCAAAGGATTTTTCTCAAAAAAAATAGCAGTACAATATTAAAGTTACTTACAGTGCATGTAGTAGTTTGTAATTTTATATAACATTGTGCTTTATAAGTATGATAATAGTGCCCTATATGATAGTATGACATATAATGGTTTTATATCTGCTATCATGAAAAAGTGAATTTTTTCTATATTATGGGTACAAATTTTAAGGCATTTGTCTGTTTTCTTTCTCATTTTAGGTTTTATATGAACAGTTCAAGTTTTTCTTGAATCTCTATTTTCTCGTCGTGTCCTGCTCACAGTTTGTACCAGCACTGAAAATAGGCTACCTGTACACGTACTGGGCTCCTCTGGTAAACAGAAAAATTCTATTAACTACAAGTTTTGGGTTTGTAACTTCAGATGGAAAGTTTGTCTACATATATTTCATAAATTTGCAACTGGTAAACTGCAGTGATCAAAGTATGTAACAGGAGTAAGTTGCTTGTTTGAAATTACAGTATTTTACAGCAGGTACTCCAGAAGCTGCTTGGTAGTCTTCCCTTCCACATGCCTACCATGCTCCTGCCCTGCAGGCTGGGGTCATTTTTGTTAACCAGCCAGTCTGAGGGAGTGGCTCTCCTTTCTGGCTGCTGGTCACTTGAGAGTTTTATTAAAACAAACTAGCAAAAAAAGCTCCAGCTACTAGAGAAACTTACTGGGTATCATAGGTAATTTGTGTGTTAAATGTATTTCAGTTTATTGTTACCTGCTCACTATTTTCATCTTTTCAGACTAGGTTGGAATTGTGAGCATGAATTTTTTTGCATTCCTTCTGTATTGGTTTTGATCACAACCTTTTCTCACAAAAATTGAGATAAAATATTTTAAACCATGGATAAAGCAGAAGGAAAATGTGCTAAAAATAAGTTATTAATTAAACATGCTTTTCCTGATTGATTACCTTGCCACTTGCACTGGCATCCTTTCAATATGTCTTTTTGTTATTGAGCCCTCTGCAGTATTTTCTTGGGAAACCATTCAAACCAGTTGCTTCTGACTCAGGTTTCCTAAGGTTTGAAAATTGTATTCTCTTTGGAGGAGGCCCTTTTGGTAGTCTGTCAGCTGTATTCCCATGATTTGGAATTCTTTTCTTGTTTGTAAGCAGATCATTACCTTCTTTCATCTTACTCCTGGTTGCTCCACACCAGGTTTAAAGGCAGGGGAGAAAAATGCCTTATGTTCTAAATTTATTTTTAAAAACTGTATTTTTCAGTAGCATTTATTCTCAGTGGTATTCAAGAGGAACAGTGACATGCTGACTGCCTGAGTAAAGGTCCTTCTTAACAAGTCAATACAGTAAATATTCCAGATTGATTTCATTGTTTTAATTGTTGTGACATGTGTCCTTTTAAATATGGATAAATGGAGAGACTGTCCTGGGTGTTCTTCACATCTCTCTTTCCAGACAACTTGTTGCTTCTGCTGCAACTAAAAAACATTTTCAAGGCAGAAAGCTTGTTCAACAGTGGGATTTGAAATGGATATTTACAAAGGTCTTTGTCGCTGACACAGTAAGAAAAGACAGAAGTCAACCTTGTCTGGAAGTTGCTCTCTTCAGAGTGAAGTGCTGTGTATGGCTCTGTGTTAGTGGGGTGGTTAGGGAAAAAAATCCCTTAGCATCTCAGCCCATTTTCATCCCTGCTCAAAGAAGGGAGAAAATACTCTTTTTTGTAAACATCAGGAATCTGTTCTGTATAGATATCTTTGTTTTATTCAAGGATATTTTGAATTAAATTTCCCACTTTTCACATATAGCTTGAAAATACCAATGTCTCTGTGCTAGCAGTACCTTTTTTGCTAGACTCACTAGTTTCTATTTCTGCTAATGATCAGGTGAAAGTGTAATTGAATGTTGAGTATGGCTCAGTATCTATGATGAAAATATAAAACATAGAAGTTAGGCCCATTGGGCTGTCTTTGTTGCATAGCAGCCAAGTTTGGTTTTCTCTGAAGAGCATATAACTGCTGATAAATCTTCAGTAATAACCAGTAGTTATGGCTTGTATTTTCTCAAGATTTTAAAAGAAAATTGTTTGCTCCGATACTTAAAACCAAATTAATAGAAGCTGACTATTGTTAGAAGGTTTTCGGAATTTTTGATGGTGTATGTGGGTTTTGTAGGTTGAGTTTGGCTGTGGGTTTTTTGAGGGTTTTTTTCAGAGCTTTGTTATTTTTTTGGTCTATTTGTTTGGGGGGTTAATTTATTTTTTTTTTAATTTCAACAGTTTTGCAACAGATAATACACTTAGATCAAGCACTGAAGTTCTTAAAACAAGACTATTTTACTACCATGTTCTCATTTGCACAGTAGGGAATGGAGTTCTCATTTTGACTCCAAGACACAAAGGTTGTAAAGTGTGCAAGTTCAATTGTAAGCAATATGCTAAAGATATTTAGCTGCTTACAGTTAAAGAAAGGTGACAGGTTTCTTTTGTAAGATTGGCTTCACAATTTCAGCTCTTATTTGGAAGAGTATCAAGTTCCTTTGAGCAAATGAGGAAAAAGGGAAATGTCTTAAATTGTTCCTCAAAGTCATAGTTAGCTGTACTCAGCTGCTCAGCAAGGTACAGGGGCTGCTAGGGGAAATTCTTGCAATTATAACACCCTGCATTCTATGTTTTGATTACTGTCTAGTTAACAAGATATGTGCAAATGGCAAATGTATTTGAAGGTCTTTCAGGATTGCCTTTTTTTATGCTGCTAAAATATCTATACTGCCAAAGTGTGTGAAAATACTGCTGCCAGAAAAGGGGAAAATTGGAGTGCTCATTCAGTTATGCCCTAGGAGTGACAAGGAATGCATTTTGCATAGGCCTTATCTTGTTCTATGTAGTTATAATATAATTGTGGCTAATGTAAACCTGAACAGACAAGGAGTGTTTAACTGTAAGGTCACAACAGAGTAAGCCTTGGAGTTTTAGTCTGGAACTGCAAAACAGCTCTTGCTATTGAAAAGGAGGATTTTAATCAACACTGTAGGAAAGCTCTTCTTCACTCCTTTCATATTGTTGGGAGGTTAGGGGAAGGTTAGCAAGCTGTTAGACTTCTGACAGAAAAGTCTAATGCATATATTTTCTTGTGTAAAGTATTGGTTGGTGTCTGAAACTAGATAATCTAGAACCTTACCTGTTGGTGGATTTGTGAATATTTGAATTTTTTAGCCATTTTTTCTATAATAATATCCCTTTATTGTTGAAAACTCTTTCACTGATGGAGAAATACTCAAGCACTCAGTGTAAGTCAGAAGACCTGATCTGAGGAGCTTTAGAATGGGAGAGAAGAAACTAATGTGCTTATCCCTCAACAGTTCCATATTCCTTTTGGCTTACCATCCTTTGTGGCCAGAGACCATTGCAGTTGTGTAGCACACTGTGTGCTTCCAGCAGGAGCTGTAGTGGCACTGTCCTGTGAAAGAAGAAGCCAAAGCATTTAGACACTTAGTTTTTCAGAACAAACCCCCTTTTCTTTGTCAATATCCATGATATAGTGGTAAATAACTACATTTAAGATGGCAAAATTAATTAAACTAGCCATCTGTTTATCTTTTCCTTTCTGCCTGTTACAAAAAGGGCAATTTTTCAGTATTAGAAGTTGGAGGCTTTAAAAATGTTTTTGGTAAAGCCCTAGAAAGGCTGTGTTTAGCTCATCCAAAGCATTTTAATTTTGTACATTTCAAAATACTATCTAAGTTATGTGTATTTGGAGATGTAGTTGTTCTAAATATATTTGTACAATGTTCAATTACTACCTTTTTTTTCCTTTCTGGACTAAACCAACATATTTTAATAGGTCAAAGAAAGCGCTCAAATCCAACTAAAAAAAAGAAATATTCTAAGCACATGTTCTTACTTGTTTATTTGTATTCTAGCACTGGGAATTCTGAATTGTATAATTGTATCTTTGACAGGGATTTGTTTTGACGGTCACAGTGGTACGGGAAGCTGTTGATGAATTTCGACGTTACAAGAGAGACAAAGAAATGAACTCACAGTTATATAGCAAGCTGACAGTACGAGGTTAGCAAAACCATTTGTATACATCCTTAAAATATTTCATCTTCTTATATATACATTTACAGGCTTTCATTTCAAAGAAATAAGTAAGTCTTAAGCTGCAGAATGCAGAACTAAACAATACCGAACTAAATAAAGCATTTGCTTTCCCTTAAGTAAAAATGACTGTTAAATTTGATTTGTTTAAGAAGTTTTGTAAGTAAAAGAAAGGTGTATGTATACAATTGTTTATATTTTTACAGAATTCTGCTGTTTACTTCAAAGTGCAGTTCTCCTCTGAAATTGATACCAAACAGAATCTCAAAAACACGGACAGCTATTATCAAGCGTATATTGGAAATAAGGGTTCAGTAACTAATAAAACTAATTAAAATTCATTTGGACTTTCAAACTTGGTAGACATTTTAGGTCAAGAAAAGGAAGATGTTATGAGTCAGCTTCAGTATCAAAAATACGGATTTCAATTTTTTGCATATAATTTGAAATCTGTTTGGTCGCACAGCACCAGGAACAGTCAGGGTTTTTTTAATACAGAAATTAATGAAAAGAGAGTTCAGTTATGACTTTCTTTTGGACTCAAAGCCTTTGATAGTTTTTCACTAAGACACTTAAGAAAATGAAGCACTTCAGATGTGAAGTGACAGTTACATTTCGTAGGATATTATAAATTTTAACCTTGGGTCTATGAGAAAGAACTATGTGCTCCTCTCCACTGTTACGTTGCCTAGCACATTTTACTGTTAGATTCAGAACAGAGTGTGTCACATAGAAAGGTGCCAAAAAGTAATGAATAACCTATTATCAAGTCTAATGAATAACCTTACAAAACAACACAGCCTTGCTATTACCCTCGAAAGTTATTTTTCTGCAATATCCTGGGAAGTCTCTGTTAAGGATTTTCCTTGGCATAAAAGCTCTATAAGTGGGAAGTTGTTAAGGAATCTGAGGTTGCATCGCAAGCAGTTAGAGTATATGGCAGACATTGTCCCAAGTGTAAATTCTGTTAACTAATTCCCAACACATATTTCAGTGCACTTTTTAGTATATCTTGGCGAGCGTTTTCTGAGGCAATGGGAAGAGTAACCGCACCAGATTGTGGAATCTTAATTAGAAACTGAACTCTTGGATAATATTCACTCCAGAAAAAAAATGCATGAAAAGCTTGTAATGTAACACAGGTATGTTCTGTCTGAAATCCTACCCCATTTTTTAAAGGAATTGGAAGGTAAGCAAACAGGCAGCAGTCTGATTAGTGATGACATAACCTACCAGCTGAGAGGCATTTGTGCTGCTTCCTTGCAGTATGGAGACTTGCATTGTGTTCTGGAGTTTGCATACTGAAGGGAGCAACTGCAGGGAATATTCGCTGCTTGTTCTTCCTTTCCTTGTCAGTCTGAAATGGCATTATCAACACTTAAATGTACCTCTGTGGAAATTTGCAAGTGGGATAGCTATTATTTGTTTAACACAAGTGTTTGCACTGCTGGCCTCCAGATCTGTACAGTCTTCAGTACAATGTGTTGTGAAATGGACTCTTAATGGCTTTTGTTTCAAAGTTTTAATTTAAGCTGCTTGTTGGCTTATTAGTTTTTTAGATCTGTTATGGTAGGCCATTGAACACTCACCTTTGAAACAGGTAGGACATTCCCACCCTATTCAGCAATAGTGTTAGTAATCTGAAATCCTTAGTTTGGGAAGCACATGTATAGTTTATAGTTACCAGTGTGATGTAAATGTTAAGACTGACATTTGCTGTTTTAAGAGCAAAGTTTGGTGCCTTTTGTGCCTCGTTTTTTGCTTATGTTTAGAGTTAATATTGGAGTTTCTAGACACTTAAGTAGCAGTTTTGGAATCCAGATTTTCTCTTTCCCACCTCATGAATTATTTCATAAGGTTATATGTATTTGAGAAACTCTTCATTTTGTAGCTTCTCCTAGAAATAAGGAAGTTGTCAAATGAAAATTGGATTTGGTCACCTTGAAATGGCTGTTTTCTAGATACAGAACAGTGATTTTAAAATAGTGTGCAGTAGTATGCAGGTAAAGCCTAGCAGTTACATTGGGAGCTGACACAGAGAGCAATGAAAAAATTTGGTTAGACTTACTATACTAACCTACAGGCTAATGGCTTGGAGAAAGAAGGCTTTGTTACTTGTGAATGAACAAACTTGATACTGATTTAATTAAAAGCCTGAAAATTGATGCCACTCTTAAGAGTCACTTTTCAGAGTGGAACTGCACTTTATACTGCTTTAGCATCTTTTTTTTCTAGTTATTTTTATGACTTGTGTAGGTTTTACGGTCTTTTCTTTGAATAGTTATTTTTTTCCATCTCAAAGGTAGAGAAACTGACACAGAGGTTAAGCAGGTTGCCCTTGCTCAGATTGGACAGTAGGAAAACTTAATTAGCAAGGTTCAGTGTTACCTTGGTTGATAAAAATGAGAATTTAATCACTTCTGCAAAATTGCACTTCTTTTGCAAAATTATTTGTTCACTAAAGGTAAATAAACATATTTGTAGCACTAGAGGTTAGTGGGATCTGAATTGTGATTAATTATTTGCTCAAAGATAGTGTGGTTAGGCTAATTTGTAAGCTAAAATCTTTTCATACAGATTGAAGTTGGGAGTCTCTGATTTTCTAGCAGGATTGACTTTCTGTTGGAGTCTTTCTTAGCCTTGGGAAGCCCTAAACAGGTAAAACATGTGAACGCTGTCTTATGATTTATGTGTTACTAGTGTAACTACCATGAGCTTTTGAAGATAAGGGGATTCACATTAGTGGCTCTTGAAGGCTTAAAATATCTTTTTAGTAGTTCAAAACCTTAAACATATATTTGTTGTAAATCTTACCTTTTTTTATCATGAACAGGAAATCAAGGGAGAATGGGTCAGCTAATTTAAGTGTTACTAACTGCGATCCATGAGCTACCCATTGTTATGCAGTTCTGTATTTGTCATGTAACATGGAAAAGCTCAGTCACCTCTTGGTGAATTTGCTGTGTAACTTTGCACTTGTAAATTAAGTGAACCTACTACACGTGAAGTCTAAATCATTTGTACTTTTTCAACCCTTTGTGGCAAGTGGTGAAACATGCATTAATAACTAGCTGTAAGAGTCACAGAGATAAGTTGCAGAAGAGGCCTCCATCTGTCACATTAGTTCAGGATGTTTAACATATTACAGAACTCTCTCTCACTTTGCAACCTCAAAGCAAAATTAAAAAGTAATGCCAGGAGAGATGAGTTTAATGAAATAATTCTGTGCAGGCTTCAAATGTGAAAGGCTTAGGTCTTTGCTATATCCTTGAAGGTGTAAAAGGAATGTCATGAAGTTGAAAAAATATATTTAAAACTGTGTGAAATTGAGAAAATATCACTGCTATACCTAAGAAGAGAAAAAAGTATGAAAGCTAGTATGTTTCCTTTAAAGTCAGAGAGTTCAGAAGACTTTTTGAGAGCTGTAGTAATTCGAAATTTTCTTTTTAAGGAATTTCAGCTCTTCAAGAACATGTTGTCCTTCTGCTTTTTAAAAAGCCACATTATTTCTGAATTCAGGGGTACAGAACTAGGTCTCTATTGCTTGCAGTATTTTAAACCTACTGATGACTTAATTTTTGGTATTTAGACCATTTGGAGCAGATAAGTATTTAAAGAGTGGTATCTGTTTAATCTAACTGACTAGGGAAGTAGTAACAACAACAAAAATGGAATTTGAAATTTTAATGTAAGAAAGAATTTAAAATAGAGGCCAGAAGAGAGGCAAAGTCAGAGGTGCTGTTCTTCCACATTTTTGCAGCATCCAAGAGATTGGAATAGAAAGAACAAAGACTGTCCATTTCATAGAGACTCATAGAGACTGTCCACTCCATAGAGGAGAGAGGCTGCAAAGCTTCTCTCTAGAGTTTTATGCAAGTGATTTCAGACTAACCTCAGTTCACTATGTGAGATGGAGTTCAAAAGCAGGACCTAAGCACAGCACTTTTTCTGAAAGATCAGCATCCTCATCCTGGACTTGAAGTAGCTTTAAGCTTTCCCCCACTGCCTGCCTGCTCCCTCCTCCTCCAACTCCCCATTATATTATGTGTACTCTAATTATACTGACAATTCAGGATGATTGATACCAGCCAGAACTTTCATCTGGTCTGTACATTATTACTGTCATTGAAGAGTTTCATTTTTATGGGTTAGAGACAAGGTCTATTACCAGCTCCACAAGTAGTACTTCAGGCAGTATTTAAGGTACCATAGGTAAGTAACAGCAATTTAAAAAGAATTTGGAAATGCTGTTTTCAAAAGTGGCTGTTGTTTGATGAGTGGCACTCAGGCTGTGGAGACACTTCCTTATGAAAGGGAGTAAAGTGTAGTTTATACCCACATTTTGTTAGCTTCATTTCTTAAATTTTTGTGTGAAGTACTTGTTAGCACATATGAGGTATTTATTAGTTTTTCAAATCATTGCAGTTCATTTCAAACAGCTTTATCTCGGGAGTGTAATGAATTACTACAGACACATTTCAGTGTTCCAGTTCTGCATAATTCTATATGTTGCTTTAGGCGAAAGCCTTGCGCCTCGGTGGACTATAAAGTCTGGATGCGCAACCACTTCTGACAGCTTTGGACTTTTTATTGGTAATTACACAGATGGTGAAGTGTGTTTTGCTATAGAGATGTTTTTAGAGAAAAAATAGTTTGCAAAAATAATTTATGCAGTGAATAACATTCCGTGTCTTTTTTCTCTAAATGCATCTTCACTAAGATGTAGTATTGCATTATTTTAATGTTCTCTGAAATGGTATCTAATGAGTCTCATTTTTGCTAGTCTAAAGGAAAGTGTTATGTGTTGACTTTTCAGAATTTTAAGCCACTTTTTGAATTACTGGCACATTTTACTGTTTAGTTTTTAATGGAATATGTCCTGCCATTCAAATTCTTTGCAGAATTGTCTTGTATGTCACAGACCACTTCCTTATGTGAGAGGACATACAGGATGCTCTTACAAGGCATGTTGGGGTCTAATAAAGACAGCATTTTGTCCTGTTATATTAAGCCACTTAGTCTGATAAAGAAACCTTTCAGTTCATAATGTGAAATTCCTGGTGCTGGACTAAGTACAAGCAAAGGTGCAGTGTGGGTTCCTCTTGGTATACTTGGCAGTAGGAGTCTTGGCTGTATGTCTGCCCTACATTGTGTTGCAAATGAATGTTTTACCTTCTCTTGCCCTCTGAGGCTTAGTGTCTTTTGAGCTTTACACTAGGTGCTGTTAGAACATAACTGTGGAAAATTTGATTGTTTAGGTTGATAAAATTGCTAGTAGTTGCATTAGGTTAGTATTTCTGAATGGTTTTGCTCATACATGACTGCATAGGTGGTGTAGATCTGAGACTTCACACAGCTCATACGAGGATTTTTGTGGCTGTTATTACTATTATCAGCTGATTGATAAAGTGGTGAAAATTGTTAGCAGAAGAATTGAAAATTATATAGAAAATGCTTTCCTTTTAGTAAAACCAACAGACTTGGAAAGGAAAGTCAATGTTCCAATGCTTTCTTTGGTATATACTATTCACTTCTAGTCAAAAGTTGAGAATTTATAAGGAAAATTCACAGACTTGTGCAGTTAGGCAGGCTAAATATGTTGATTTCATATCAGGCTTCTTTTAGTGGTTGAGCTTTAGTTACTTTAAATTAAATAAAATAACCATTGATATATTGACACTAACTTAATTTCCATGGGTATCTTGAAAGTCTTGTAGAGACCTGCTGATATTCTTGCTACAGCTTTTTATACTTTGCTCTTCTGCTACTCCCTTTAGCCTCACAAATGTATTGATTGAACATATCATTTGTTCTGTGTTTGGGAGCAAAGGAGGGAAAGTATTTCCGGCAACTGAAAAATGGAACATGTGTCAAACGTCATTATTAATAACGAAGTCTGACTTTCAGAAATAACTTTGCAGACAGGCCAAACAAAAACTGTGATTTTCCTCACACTGCTTATTTTAGAGGCACTCATGTAATGAAAAATACATTAAATATTAGCTATAATAGGAATGCATTTATTACGGACTAATTGCTACTCATCCTGTGCTTTTGTAGATTTTTTGTTTAATTCATTCCATCTGATTTTTATTTAGAGCCTTACCACCTTACCATGTTTTGACATACTTGTCATCTGATACCTGCTGATCAGATATCTGCTGCTTGGAATCATGGTAGTGTTTCTGATGAGACAAGATCATACTTATAGGGGTGTTTTTCAGCTCACCAGGCTGTGTAAATATGTATGTGTTTATATCCTGAGGGGTGTTTTTGTTTTGACTGTTTCTAAGAAGCAACTTTACTCTGGAATTGGAGCAAGGACCTGGGACTAGAACTCCTGAATTTTAATGACATTAACAATAAGTTATTTTGGGGAGTAGCTTAACCTCTGTGTCTCAGTTTTTCAGTCCATCAAATAAGAATGTTAAAACTTAACAGTCTTGCAAGTATTAATACCCTATAGAACATAGAGAAATTAAATTGGAAAATGTACTGTGTATATTTTTGAATGAGTTGTTCACAGCAGTTACTGAATGGGCAGCTTTAGAAAATGAAAAACCTCTGTTTCAGCCTCTGATATTTTACTTTTGTAAAAAGGAATCTTCAGGCGTTTCTTCTGACTTTAGAGAGACTTGACTCTTTTCTACTATAATTGCCAACAAGTGTCAGACAGTGCCAATCACATCAGTAACTTTAGTGGCCAAGCAAAGCTACCTGTTGGTAACTAGGCTGTGAATAACAACTTGTGCATGTGAGAATGCTCCATGACTGTAAGCCTGACAACTCTTGACTTGTCAGACACAGAAGTGCTGACTAGTAGGAGACGTGAAAGACTTTTTTTTTTTCTTTTTTTCTTCCAGTTTTACAACTCTGTTAGTGGTACTATAGATCAGACTTGAGTATGTCCCATACATACCTTTTCCCTCTAATACTTCTACAGTAGCTAACTGGTTAAAAAACTGGAATTTTTTCATCAGTGAGTTATTTATTTATACAATGAAATCTATTTATTGATGTGTACATCAGAGATTCGTTTTGTATAAATTGTAACATTTTCACCAAATAGGAACATCTTTAAATAACACTTGCATCCTGGGATTTATATTCTTGTGACTCTTTATGTCTGCCTAAGTTGATTACATCTTTCTTTTTTTTTCCTTTTAAGGTAAAGTGCAAGTTAAGAGTTCAGACATACAAGTTGGAGACCTCATCATAGTGGAAAAGGTTGATACTTTTAAAATATATTTTAGAGAATAAAGATTATTAACATGCTAATTATCTTCTGAAGAAAAGTGTATCAAGGTACTTATCTGTGACGTATTAAGTAGCTAGTATTTTAGTTCAAGTCCTATTTGAGAATCTTCAAGGAAGTCTTAGAATTAACTATAAGCTTAAGTGAATGTAAATATTTAATTTTATGAATTGGTATATGCTTAAATCTATCTTGTGAAGGGAATATGAGTACAGAAATAAGTTCCCTGACATTTGCTGTGCTGAATGTTTTAATCTGTCTGATTATTGATACCTTCCTTCTGATGGTCAAATCAGTGTTATTCTATGTCTGAAACCTGCTTTAATGAGCTTTATTTATATATATGTATGTGAATATATTTGTATTATCGAATTGCAATATGTATCTAACAATATACATAAATACTATGAAAGTTTATGTATTTTTAAAATGGAGAAAAAGCTTTCCAGTTTGACTGCGATGGTGAGTGAGAGCTGTGAACTCTTTTTTGCTTTATGTTAACATAATAGACTGTTGCTTATTTCAGTTGCCTTTCTGGGCAACTAAGAGATTATTGTGACCTTAGAAGTCAACTTTAATTTTATTGTCAGAGGTAACTGTTTTTACTTAAGTTCATTATGGGAAGATGACTCGCTTTCTGGGTGCCAGCCAGTAATTCCCATCACTCCTAGTATTGGAGAGCTAATCCATGGAGATGCTGGAAGGAGGCACCTCAAGTTGAAGCTTGTATCTGCAGCTTTGTTTGAAGTGTTACACGGAGAGTTGCAGTTTGGCAGAATAGATTCTAGTGGCTGCTTAGGTAATCTGCCTTCCTTGAAATTTTCTGAGAACCGTCTGTCTGTTGGATTACAGTAGAATTTGGAAAACTAGAATTACTTTAGGGATCAGTCTGTATTGTGTGAGGTCAGTCCATAGCATCTCTTTCAGCATTATTTGCAGTAGTTTACAGATCATATGTTGTGAGTACCTGAAGCTTCTAATGAAAAAAGTAATGTTTAAGTATTTAGGGTAATAGTGTTGTGTTCTTTCTGATGAATATTTTACTTGGGTATCTCAGTAAGATCCAAATAATTGTTTGAATGTTAGAATCATAGCATCATCAAGGTTGGAGGAGACCTCTAAGAGCATTGAGTCCAACCATTTCCCTGCTACTCTCCTGTAACCCCTAAACCATATCCTGCAGCCCAGGTTCAGACATCTCTTAAACACTTCCAGGAATGATGTCTCCACCACCTCCTTGAGCAGTCTATTCCAGTGCCTGACCACCCTAACACTGAAATATTTTTTCCTAACATGTAATCTGAGTCTTCCCTGTCTCAGCTTATGACCATTCCCTGTAGTCCTCTCAGTGCAGCGTGGCAGAAGAGACCATCCCCCACCTCTCTACTGCCCCAAATATTGAACTATTTGAGCTTCAAGCTTCATACTTTGCCCCAGCAGAGCTGCTTTTCTTCTTTTGGCTAGCTGTGGGTGCCTTCAAATTAATGAAATTAAATGTTTTCTGGTTCTGTTGAGAAGTGTATTTTGTTGGAGCAAGCAGTTTTCAATTTCAGAGTATGACTCTAAAGCCGAAGAACTAGTCAGGAGTGAAATGTTCAATTGCTCACTCTAATGGCAGAGAAACAAGTTAACATTGTATTTGACTGGTAGATGCATCAACAGCATTTCTGTAGTGAAATTAATGACTCATTTGAGCTGAAGATCCATATGTTAACTAGTGACTGCACCACAAATACTAACAATTTAAGTGAAAGACTTTTCTAGATTTAAACCTTGAATATCCTCTGAGTATTGTCTTTTTTGTAAATACTCCTAATTAATTTCAAAGTATTTCTTAAGTGACTGTAATGTCCTTAAAACAGTTTAGTTTCAAGTAATACATCTATTATTTGAACTGAAAATTTTGTAGTGCACTATTACTAGGCTAGGAAGAAGCCTGAATAGATCAAAATATTGCCTGTTTTTAAAAGCTAAAAGACATTTGTGTATGTTACCTGAAAAAATGGCCACTGCCTTCAACAGGCATGCTACTTCTAGATGTTCTCCTTGGCTTATTTTAAGATACATTTTTAGTTTTTGGTGGGAGCACAGATGTGCATGGTGTTCCTGAATAAGATAATTGAAGGGACAAGTTGATGAGTTCAGATATTATTATTCTTATTTAGACATTGTAGCTTATTGACAGTTTGGATCACATTTTGGAGATGTGAAGAAGGCATTACACATTTAGTTAATAATAATAACTACACATTTCTGTAATAAAATTTAATGGTAACACATAATAGTGTTTTAAGGCATGCGCAACAGTAATGCTTTTTCTTAAAACCTTGAGAGCTTTTCTTGGACCCATAAAGGGGCACAATTGAGTTTTGTTTAATCTCAGGTGTAAAGTGAGAGGAGTCCAGTTTTTGCAAGGATTGGAGTTAATGTTAGCATGCAGTATTGCACAGCATGTAGATCCAAGAAGACAACTGGGAAGTACCTCTCAGAAGGTAGCAGGAATATTTTAGTCCATGAGAAAAGTATGTGATTCATTGCATGAAGGAAGGAGAAAGGACAGTAAATGCAAAATTCCAAGGGTCTGTAGCTATGAGCAATTGAAGGGTATTGGGAGACTGACTAGGGAACTGGTAAAGCATATATAACTAACAATTTTGTGGTAATAGCATGAGAGAAAAAAAAACCAAAAGTAATTTGAAAGCTATTAGAAGCAGTATTTTTCAAGTGAATATTGTAGCCTGTGTTGTAGGGAAGTGTGGGTTTGCTTATGGATTTTCTTGTTTGCCAGTCTGGCTAGTATTCCTGGATGGCATAAAGTTACTTACGGGAACTCTGCAGCTGGGGAAGCACTTACAATGTTGTCCATTGTCTGGTTGTAGTTAGATCCCTAGGAATGAATCTGTAAGTCTACAGACAAACAGTGAGATAATGGAAGCCCTCCTTTTCTGGAGCTCTAATTCCACCCAGATTTAAGCAAAACAATGTATTCAAGTCACTTTCATGACTTGTATATTCAAATTTCAGTAGATATCAATAAACATTTCTAGTTTCATCTCCATAGTAATTGATATTACATAGTTTCTTCATGGGTTTCTGAATGCTCAAAGTTGTATGCGTTGTCATTTTAACTTGTTCCACTTTGATAAATACAACATGAGAGGGCTAACTAACATGATTGGCATATTGCTGCTGTTTGTCTGTGACAACATACAATGGAACTTAATTTTCTCCATAATGAGATGTTAAAGATTTTTGTCGCATACTTGCCATCTGCTTCTGCATAGTCACTCTTTTATAGTGACTAGGTATGTCTTTGCGGGGGTATCTGTGCTCGCCAGTGCGAGTAATAATACTGACAATGATTTTTGGTGTCTAGTACTCCTGCAGTCCCCTTCTGCCCACTTCCAAAATATGAGAAACCTGATGAAAAACAAGATGTCAATTTTAAACAGAGACGAGTCAGTCTCTAGCCTCCCTATGTTGTAGGATACATTCAGATATGTTAATACAGAAAAGCTTACATTATTTTACATGAAAGAAACAAGCAGGGAGAACACAAAAGGGGCCAAAATCAATATGCATTTTTTTCCTGTTGAAATGAGAAAATATTCACATGACTAATTTGATCACAGTCTATAACTTCCTCAGTGGGGTGGTGAGGGAGGAGCTGCTGTTATCTCTGGTGACCAGTGACAGGACACAAGGAAATGAAATCACAAGGGCATGAGGTGACAAACTGAAAGAGGGTAGATTTAGATTACACAGTAGCCAGAAATTCTTCACTGTGAGTGTGGTCAGGCACTGGAACACCTTGCCCAGAGAAGCTGTGGATGCCCCACCCTGCAGGTGTTCAAGGCCAGGTTGGATCGGGCTTTGAGCAGCCTGGTCTAGTGGAAGGTGTCCCTGCCCATAGCAGGGGGTTGCAACTAGATGATCTTTAAGGTCCCTTCCAACCCAAACCATTCTTTGATGCGGTGAATGAAGCTGTGCCAGGGGAAGTTCAAGGAACAGGTTCCTCTGTGAGAGGCTGGTCAGTCGCTGGAACAGGCTCCCCAGGGAAGTGGTCACAACACCAAGCCTGTCGGAGTTCAAGGAGTGCCTGGATGATGCTCCTAGTCAGATCGTTTAGTCTTAGGTAGTTCTCAAAGGGGCAGGGAGTTGGAATCTGTATTTTTTATGGGTCCCTTCCAACTTTAGATATTCTATGATTCTGCCCAGTCTTGTCAGGCATAAAGACCTAAATCTTGGATAGCGTGTACCAGGTGATTTTCATTTACTGAATGTGAAACGTGCGAACTCTATGGAAGCTGGTAATGACTTGTAAAGCCTGATACTGCATTCGGAGTATTAGAACTTCTATTTAATTCAGTGTTAGATCATTTGACTGTTATGTTTGCAAAGTTTTGAATGTTGCTCAAGTGTTTCAGCTTGTTTACAAGTAACTGGAAGTTTGTAGGCATGAAGTCAGTAACCTGAAACTTGTGTAATGGATTTATGTCAGAGCTGGCAGGGAAGCTGCAAAAATGTATAGTTAATCTATATGAAGACTGGATATCTGTTTAATTGTTATTGTCATTTAAGGACAGATTTATTTAATTTTGAAGTTGCCTTTTCCTTTACCTCTTTTTTTTCCCTCTTAATTTGTGCGTAATAATATAGTTTAAGGTTAATGTTTTTACTGCATTCTTTTTCAAATCTGAGAGATTCCTAGCTGAATCTGGGCTCATGGTGGATAATAAATTTCACTACATGTTTGATTATTATCTGTTAAAAGGCAAGATTCAAAAAAATGCTGCACTAGTTGCAGTTGCAGGTGAGCAGCCTCTTCAAGGTGAATACTGTTGGCATAGAGACCAGCACATGAATTTTATTTTTAAGAGCAGAAAGAGTTGTGACTGCATGCTGGTCTTGGGAATGTTTCTTTGGAGTAATGGAGAGCTTTGCCTATAGTATCCAGAATAATCAGAAATAATATTGCTATGTGACTGAGGTAAACAGTAGAGTTCAGCATTGTATGTGGGGAAGAAGCATCAGCTTAAGTGGTGTTGTCTGGTGTAAATACACATTTATTATCCATTATGAGTGAGACTGTGAATTTTTTCAATCTCTGAACTGATTTTTATGGGTAGTCAGGCATAATATTTTGAAGGTCCCACACACAGTGAGTGTCATACAAAGCAGTGTTTAATTATCTTGATGGATGTATTTTGAGCTGTTTTATTGCAGGGGACTATGAGTGTACATACTTTTGTTTTTTAGGCATGCAGTGATGAAGGGGAAGTGCTGCCTTCAATTTAAGTAAAAGTTGGAGGGTTAAAAATTAGAAACTGTGTCTTGTTTGGAGTCAAACCTGTCTGAGAATGCTGAGTTTTTCTGTTCATAGCAGTGTTGTGTCCTTAATTGTTGAGATGGAGGACTGGCTTGACTCAAATGAACAAAAAAACATTCCTCTGTGTTTGTGTTGATTCTTCTAGGAGGTTTCTGAACATTTGCTAATGCTGTGGTTTGGGCTATCACCTAGATTCCTGTTGGGAAAAGTGCGTTCAGAGCTGCTCCATGCTGGATGCACTTGAATTTCATGTAAAGATAATTTTGAACCGATTACTTTGATAGTTGTGTCTTTGTAATAAACCATAGAATTCATGCCTTCCACTTTGATACAATGAATCAAAGTATTGTGACCAGGATTACCCTTATAAAATTTACAGGCAGGATTGTGTGTTGCGTTCAGTGCATGAGATACTCCATTGCTTATTTTCTTGAAGGCTTCTGGTTAGCTTGTCCTCATGTTTATTGCAGTTTCTTCTGTATGAAATGACTAACCAGTTTGCTATAGCTGATAGTTTATGCACAAAATAGAGCCACAGTTGAATTATTGCTGTATTGATTTTGCAGTTTGATTATATTTGAAGTGTGAAATACAGAATTATTGTGTAGTTTTGAAATGCTCATGTAATGAACTTGCCCCTTGATTTTTTTTATGTTGAGTTAATTTGGTCAGATTTTTAAGGCTGAGTTCTGGGGTTTGTGTATGTCATGTGGTTGGTTTTGTCACAACATATATTTTCTTTTCCACTCAGTTAAGTTCTTAAAAAATAAAAGATGACAGCACTTAGGTATGCAGTGGCTTTCATGGCATAGTTAAGCAAGTATAGAAGGGTACCTGAAATTTATTGTCAAATGCAGGTACTTCCTGTATGAAAAATATTTGTGCATGACATCCTCTTAGCAAGTAGTCAGAAACGAATATTAAGAAATATCCTTGACCATGAATCTTGTAAAGCCATTGCTAATAGTCAACTGAGATTTTTTTTAAACTGGTTAAAGCTAGTCTTTAAATAAAATGCAAATGAATCTTTGTGTGTGGCTTCAATATCAAACTGTACAGCATGTGGAATTCTAGACATAAGTTGTGATGGGAGAAACTGCAATTCAATACAGTATCTTTTCTTATTGCTCTGTCCACTCTTTATTCTGGTTCCTGTCAACTTAATATGTTCTTTTTTTCCATTCCAGTCCTGTATTTCTTTCAGGTTTTGGCATATTGGTTATTTTTGCTTTCCCCAGTTTTTCACACTTGAACTCCTTGTTGGCAATATGTAGCTGGTGCTGGTAGATGCCTTGTGAACAAGTGGAGGGAGAGCTAGGGATTTTGGTTGTCACATAGCAGGTAGCATGTGTGTGAGAGGGTGGTATTGTTGATTTTGTTTAACCTGTGAAGGCTTGGATTGGCCTTTCTCTGGTCAACAAAATATTGAAAATGTGATTTGATACAGACAGTTCTGTGTTGGAAGGGGAAATGGCAGAACAGGTGTGCAGGTGCATCTGACTGTGCACATGGGTCTATGCCTTAGTGAGGAAGCAATTCTGTTCATTTTAGGTATGTGAAATATGAAAATGCTGTTTTCCCTGTGTATGTTTGTCTGTGTTGGGAGAGAGGAAAATGCTTGGTATACATGATGTTTGCAACGTGAGTGTCAAGAAAGATATTTTAAATTTCACTTTCTTTTTTTCTATTATATATGCTAACTGTATGTCAGAGTTTTGCTCAGTGAAATTATTTTTTACGATATTTCAATTGGATATTTATATTCGGAAGTACTGTTTTCAATCAAGAAAATGTTAATCTGTTACAGTTCTTCAGGTATTTATGGTTCACTTATAAGGGGCATCTGAAAGGATTAACTGTTGTTTGCTTATTGTATAATTTTTTGAAAATATTGATTTCTGAATTGCAAATGCTGAATGTAAAGTACTGTGAGAAATCCTGTTTTAATTGAGTTTCAATCCAAGTGTGACCTTTTGGTAATAGATCTCACTGGACATTTGATTGGAATTCACTTTTTTCCCCTACTTAAAAAAAAAAAACTCTTTTTTTTTTTTCCCCCCCTCAGAATCAACGAATCCCATCTGACATGGTGTTTCTTAGAACATCGGAAAAAACGGGTATGTTTTGACGATTTGCATTGGTTACATGATAAGTTTGTGGATGTGGTAAGATCTTAGACTGTGCATTGTGAACAGTTTGAAATGGTCAGATAGACTGATGGAGATCTACCTTTTTGCGATTAATGGGAGAGGGTCCATAGATGAGAAACACAGGATGACTGCAAGACAGGAGTAATCTTACTGTGGACATGAGCCTTCTATAGCTGTGTTTCTCTAAATAGATGACTGTTATGAATTGTATTAACAAAAGATTTAAATACTAAAATTATTTAACAAAAATTTTAAAAGACTGCACTTGATTAGTATGACTTGAAAGTATTTTTAATTATTTGCAACTAATCACCGTCTTGCAACACATTTAAATGTCATCTGATTGTATTTTAGTTATTGAATTGAAAAGAACTGAAATCTGAACCTATTAATATGTGATTAAAATAATTATTTTTTGAAAAATACATTGCACTTACCTAAAAACCCGCAATAATTGTTTTTTATTTTTTTTACTTAAAAATAATATTCCCTTTTTGGTCAGTCAAAAAAACCTCAGGAATTCTCTTGAGCGAGAGAAAGAAAAGTACTTATTGTTAGCTCTATTTCTCTTCACATGGTCATAGGGGAGTACTCTTAATCTTTGAGAAACAAATATCTCCTTTATATGAACCCTATAATTTATGGCTGTTTTGTAAAGTTTAGAAATTACTATTGGGTGCTCCCCTTAATAACTCAAATGAGTTTTCCTCCTTTATATTACCATTTCTCTTCAGATCCTGAGGAACTGTCTGGTGTTTGTCAGGCAGCACTAAATTTCACAAAGCTAATAGCTGTGATATTGTGTTAGTGGCACTTGGTATATCACTGTGGCACTGGAGTTCTATCATTTTTCAGATAAAAGGCTAAATTTGCAGAGATTTGTAAGAGAAGACAAAAATATTTCTGATAGCCTACAGAATACTACTAGAGCTATATATTTGCTAAAAGAAGAAATTATTCCATAGTTACTGTGTCTTGCTAATGACTTTGAAATGCTGATTAGATGCAGTTGATCATCTATAAGTGGCCTGGACTGACAAAGTTTCCTAGTAGTCTTAATAATAAGGTCCATCTTGGTTAACCACCCTCTGGTTCAGGATACATATTCCCTCCCATGGTATCACAATTTATTACGAAGCACAATGCTTTTGGTAATTCAAATCTCTTGCATTCAACATGTTATGAAAGGATTGATATTGTCCCTACTGACACAAAACCTGTTTCAGCTCAAGTTACAGCTCATAGAAAAGTACAAAGTAGGAGGACTTCTGCACCTGTAGAAAAATTACTTTTAAACTAGGCTATTTGCATGCAGCGTGTGAGTGGTAGAAGGACAATGTGTGTTGATCCAAAATTTTCCTAGCCTGTTGGATTAGGTGTTACATATCTAGGTGTTTGGAAGCAATCATTATCTACTCCATCAGAGGTATGTGTCAGTTGTAATTTAAGTGATGTGTGCACAGTAGAAATGTGTAGGAAACTCATATGTAGTGTTATGCAGTGTTTGCTGATGTAGGAGCATCGAGAACTGTTTCTCTGGTGAGAGCTCTCCCTAGTCAGGATCCTTGCAGCAGTTTATGTAAGATATGTTGTCACTGCTGGAATAAATGAACAAGAATATGATGTGACTGTTGGCCACCTTATAACAAAACAAATTCTAAAATGATATATTTTTCTTATCTGCCCTGTAGCATGTTCTTCTCTCTGTTAATTCTAAAATTTCTGACTCTGTGATGTTATAAGACACTGTAGTCTCCCTTGGCTGTAGTACTGTTAGTTGAAGGATGGGGCACAGGTATGGTTCTCAGTGAGCAACACAGTCCAGCAATGCATCTGCACAAGATACTTGTGTCTTGATTGGAATATATATGAATAGTAAATCTTGAAGGGCCATAGATACTAGAACTTAGACTATCTCTTTGTCAAGATATGATGGGGGGAAGGGAACAGGGTGAAGCCCTATGTCAAATGTGTGAAGAAAATATTTTTGAAAGTGAAACCCATCAAGTCCGCTTCACTGTTCAGCATGTAAGTGTATTTCAATGAGCTATCTTTAAATGTCATAATAAAACTTTTCCTGTAAGAAGCTACATTAATTTGCCATCTAGAAAATAAAGCTACTTGTTTGAAAAGCTTATCATAACAGCAGACTTTCCATAACTGATACTAACAAAATGCTTGTGAGCCCTTGGAAAGTTCTGTACCTACTGTGTAAAAGTTAATTATAATGTAAAGTGACTAAAGAGCAAATCGAGTGAAATCTTCCAAGAATTCTGGCATAAGTGATTTATATAAGCTTCTGCTACACATGGAATGTGAATTTCAACATTGAAAATGCGGTTTCTCTGAACAAGCAACAGGTTAACTAGTTTTATTGGTGATGCACTTATTTAAAAACAAAACAAGAAAACCAAGCACACAAAAATCTCCTAAACTTCAAGCATATGGCAGTAATTGTTTTTTGACTAAAGAGTGAACACTTACATCTGTAATTGTTTCTCCCTCATGTTGCAGTTTTGACTGATTTATGGTTTAATTTATAGTTGGCACTTTTAAGTACTTTGTGAAACAGTTTTTGCATGGGTTTATATTTTATATGTAATTTTATCTTGTGCGCAATAAAGGAGTTTAACTATAGCTTCTTACTATAAATCTATAAAGAGTAAAGTGGAGATTTTGAACTAATCTTAAAATCCAATCCACCCTGTAACTTCTTTTGAGACAAAGTACTATTTTCCAACTTTAATATTTATACTACGTATTAATGTAGTCTGCAGCACTGTAATATCCTGAAAAAAAGTTCACCCTCCATTGCATTCTTAGGAATGTTAAATTTACAAGGATACTTTTCACTCTGCAGAGCACAAGTTGCCTTATGGGTTATGAAGCTTATGATAAAACTAATTTCTTACTAGATGTACTTTATTCCCTTTCTTTGTCAGATGCATTGTCTTTTAGCTAGAATGATGTCTTCAAGTCATCAGATATAATGACTTGATGCTAACTGTGTGCCTGTATCTAATTTCCTAGATTCCTATGTTTTTTAGTCAGACTTTAACAAAAGTTATAGTCTAATGTAGGTTGGGCTTTGTTTTGTATTCATGTAACAGGTCGTAACATTGGTATTCCTCTCCTTCATGAATGGGGTCAGCTAGATGGCTGTTCGTATTTAGAGTTAGGATTACTTCCCAGGGGGATGGAGCAGGTGGAAATCACTCCTCAGATGTGAATTCTTTGCTGCTGTCAGGATTGCCATATAACAGAAGTTTCCAAAAGATCTTAATTGACTTTCAAATAAATTAAAAAAAGAATGAAAATTTTCTGGAATAATATATTGGGGGGTTTTATATTAAAAAGGGTAGGAGGAGATGAGTTATGGCTGAATCTTGGTTTTGCTCATTACATATGGCAGAGATGACAAGCAGTTTGAAAGATTTGTCCCATTTATCAGCCTTCCACCAAATGAAAGGAAATGTTCATGCTGAGCCTGCTCCAAAAGATGCTGTAAAGGTTATTTTCATTTGCTGTATAAGCAGGCATCGTGCCAAAACCAACTGACTACCTTAGTGTAAAGCTGTTATGCAAATGTAGGCAAGATCTCTGTTACACCAACACAAAGCTCCCTTGCTGAAATTAAGCTAGATCCTAAGTGGCCTTTAACATAGCTTTCAGGTTCATTTTTAAATTGCTTGGCATGCTCTGTGCATTTTATTTGTCTATATGCCATCTCAGTCATAAAGCAAGGGCTAGACAGGGCATTCCAGACATCATCATGTAACTTTATAATTGTCCACAGGAACTGCCAACTGAAGCATGTGTTAATAACTTCAGCATTATGGGAGTATTAGCAAAGATACTGTATTTGTAAAACACAAGAAAAATTTCAGATAGAAACTCTTTCTTCTCTAAGCTAAAATTCTTGTACTCTACATTAGCTGTGCCTTGGTTTGGTGCCTTGGTTGTGCCTTGATTCAATGACTGGCTTCTGGTCCAGGTCAGGGATTCCTGTGCTAACACACAAAGGTGTTCAGACATGAACTGCATCTGGTTCTTCATGAGAATATGGTGCATGTGTCTATAAGACTTGGTATCTGTGGAATGTTTGTGCTCTGTTAACTTTCAGATGTGAAATTCTGACAGGGTGGCTACCAAATGTCAAAAAAGAATGAATGATGCTTTCTTTTTTTTCTTCCAAGCTTTTCATTTACACACCTTCAGTAACCTCAGTTTCTTACTCATGGGCAAAAGTTGGCACATGCAGTGAGTGGTGCTGAGCTATTTTAGCTATCAATTTTTTAGTAAGTTCTAGAGCAGATGACTCTTGGAGCTAACATCTTGGCTTTTCTGTTGTTCAGATGGTTCTTTCATCCTCTCTTTTTTCACAAAAATTCAAGGAACTTCACTTTTTGTGGCACTCTATTGGACCTTTTCCATATGCTCATTCCACACTTGTACTGGAGAGCCCAGCACTGGACACAGTACCCCAAGTGTGGCATCACTATCCTGAGCAGAGGGGAAGGATCACCTCCATCGACCTGCTGGCAATATCCAGACTAGGATACCAGCAGCTTCCTCTGCTGCCAGGGCATGTTACTGGCTCATGTTCAACCTGGTGTCCCCCAGGATTGCCAGGTGCTTTCCTGCGAAGCACCTTTCGATCCGGATGGCCCCAGCAGATGCTGGTGCATGGGGTTGTTCCTCACCAGGCACAGGATTTTGTGCCATTTCTTCGAGGTTCTTGTCAGCCTGTTTTGCCAGCCTGCTGGGGTCCCTCTGGACATTTCCTCATTGCATAGATCAGTGTCCTGAGTTCCACTTATGAAACTGCTTAAAATGGTGCATTTACTCAGGTATAAAATACTAGTCGCAAACATGTTTACACTTTTCAGAATTGTAGCAAAAAGAGTGATCTCACTTGCATTAAAATTTGTGGCTAAGAGTTTTCAGTATTCTTTACTTGTAATTAC